AATCGAGAAATTAAACTTTAATTTCCACAGCCCTAAAATATATATATATATAATTATAATAATAAAAACCACCATTTCACCATTTGGAGGTAAGACGTATGCAAACTATCTGTAATACATACATCAAGGCCACTGAATTTGCTGTATTTTTCCTTAAGGTGTTTTGCTGGTCATCTGACTAGCTTTCTCATTTCTGAATTGGGAAAGCCAGTTGGATGGCCTGCAAAACGTCTTTGAGAAAAATACAGCAAGTCCAGTTGCCTTGATTTATTTTTTACAGATATACCATGACCTGGATGAATGAGAAACTTCACAGAAAAGTATGTAAACTGTTTAAAATGGACTGTTCCAAGCAGAATATACATTTTTTTAAATGGTAATATGTTTTACTTCCAATATATTTCCCTTGCTTCATCATTGCTAATACGGGCAGAGTTGATTACTCTTCTCTTTTTTTTTTTTTTGCTACATAATTTTTGTGTAGAAAATCCTCATATTATTGGACTGAGACCAAGAGATGTAATAATAAACAATCTGCAGAGTCGTAATAATAAACAATCTGCAGAGTCGTAATGACTCTGCAGATTCTTTTCTATTACATCTGTTTATTATTACATCTCTTGGTCTCAGTCCAATAATATGAGGATTTTCTACACAAAAATTATGTAGCAAAAAAAAAAGAGAAAAGTAATCAACTCTATGTCAGGGACGTGCGGTCAGGGGAGGCAGGTGGGGCAGAGCCTCACCTAGTATTATGGAAGAAAAAGCTGTCAGCTTTTTCTCCATTCAGATCGGCTTGCTACAGGTCACACAGCAGGGAAATCCTCCCCGCTGTGTAACCTGTCATGGACGGAGCGCTGGATGTTAATTACTGGCAGCGCTGCATCCGGCTTTTGACAGGTAGTTAGGTTACACAGCAGCAGGCTTTCCCCAATGCTTGTGTAACCTAACTATTGAGGCAAGAGCTGTCACAGCCTCTACTCTGTGTTAGAGGCGTGAGCTCTGTGGGTGCCTTGGACCATTGGCAAAGCGCCATTGGTCCAAGCTCTCCAATCAGAAAAAAAAAAGACAGTGAGGACATCGATCTCGATGACTCACCAGTGACGAGCAAGTAAGGGACAGGGAGGCTTCTCCCTGTCTCCTCCCTTCCTCCTCCCCACACAGCTTGGTTACCGAGCTGGGGGCAGAGCTTTGGCTGGATGGGGGTGGAGCTTTGACTGGCTGGGGGATGCCTCACCCAGCACAGAAGGCACGTCACTGTTACATGTACATTCATTGTTTGTAGAGACAAAAACAAATTAGTATACTTTCTTTCCAAGTTGAATATAATATCAGGTAAATACAACATTATGGCCACTAGATGGAGCTAAAGAGGATTGGAAATAAGTATTTATTTCCTTTACTCCTCAGCTCCATCTAGTGGCTTTGATCTGGTTATAGCTACCAAGATGGTTTCCTGCACACAGAGACAGAGAGTGCAAGATAAGGCATGGGAAGCCAGTAATGGGAAAATTATCATCTCCAGGGAGTCCACAGGCAATACTAGTGACTAATCCTTTGTCCTCTGCTTGACTTTTTTTGGGACACAGCTTCCACAGTATAGGTCTACCGAGACCTATACTGTAAATCTAGCTTGTGAGTTGTGTTGGTCAGAGATATATCTCTCCCTGTTCCTGAGAGCTTAATTAATCTCAAATCATCTTTCATTAAATTGACTTAGCAGATGATTTATAAATCCTCTGCTCAGCCATACACTGGCGGAATGGCGGTAGCACACCATTCTTGCCACTAGATGGAGCCGAGGAGCATAGGAATTTCTATGCTCCTCAGCTCCATCTAGTGGTGACCAGCTTATGGCTGGGTGGATGATTCATAAATTCTCCCCTTAATGATGCCACATGTGTTAATATGGTAGACTTAAAAATAACACAGTATAAGATTTTTTTCTCCATGGAGGCAACATTACCTCGACAACACCTTTTCGTTGGCTTCTGAGGACCAGACTGAACCCATTGGTTTCCACCAATACTGTTTCGATCACTCCAGAACTGGAATCTTCTTTCTTATGATTTATCGTAACCCTGAACTCATCCAGCCTTTTGTCACTTCCGGAGGCACTGCTGCCACAGCTCTGGGCCAGTACATATGAGCACTTCCCTTGGAATTTGTAGGAGAGTCCATCAAAGGATCTATAATTGGAATATCCAGCTGTATTGCAAGTGGCCGAGCCTACAGGATGGCATCCCAGTACAGACTTTTCCACACGGCATTCCTCATTGGCGCTGCACGATGAAGGGGCGCAGCTCATGACTCCACCGAGAGTGCAAGTACATTTCTGGGTGCAGGTGTCCCCGACATAAAGGCTTTCTCCAAGGGAGTAGTAGGCACCATTGTAGCTGCAGCCACACTGGGAGATTGGGACGCAGTTTCCGCCACTGAGAATGTAGCCATTGTTACAGACACAGCCTTCTGTACAATTCCCAACGCAGCCATTTGGGGTACTAAGACCATTGCAGGTGACCTGACAAGGATCTACGCAGACCTCATAGCTGCTGTGTGCAGGACAGGAAAGAGCTGCAAGACATAAGCATAAAATATATTTAACTCTATCTATCCACTCTAAATAGGCAAAAATGTGTGAATACCTGGACTATCACACCTATACTATATGGCCAATATGAAGGGTACTGTTAATGCTACACCATACAATGACATTTAGGACAAAAGGTTGGTTGGTAACAGTATGGAAGAGCTCCTCTTCTTTCTGAGCATGACTGTGCCCTGTGCACAAAGCCAGCACCATTAGAACATGGATTGACCAGTTTGGTGTGGAGAAACTCAAGTGTCCTACGCAGAGCCCTGACCTCAACCCTACTGAACACTGAGATTAATTGCAACACTAATTGCTAGCCAGGTCTTCTTCGTCAACATCATTACCTCACCTTACAAATGCTCTGCTGCATGGGCACAAATTCTCATACACACTCTAAAATATTTTTGGAAAGCTTTCCCAGAAGAGTGGAGACCTTTATAAACACAAACAGCAGGCCAGCTCCATAATAATGGCCAAGGAGGAGCCAACTCCATATTAATGGCCATGGGGGAACCCAACTCCCTATTAATGGCCATGGGGGGTGCCAACTCCATAATGGCCATGAAGGAGCCAGCTCCATATTAATGGTCTTGGGGGAGCCAACTCCATATTAATGATCATGGGGGTGCTAACTCCATATTAATGGTCATGGGGGGTGCCAACTCCATATTAATGGCCATGGGGGGAGCCAACTCAATATTAATGGCCATGGGGGGAGCCAACTCAATGTTAATGGTCATAGGGGGTGCTAGCTCCATAATGGCCATGGAGGAGCCAGCTCCATAATAATGGCCATGGGGGGAGCCAACTCCATATTAATGGTCATGGGGGGTGCCAGCTCCATAATGGCCATGGAGGAGACAGCTCCATAATAATGGCCATGGGGGAGTCAACTCCATATTAATGGTCATGGGAGGTGTCAGCTCCATAATGGCCATGGAGGAGACAGCTCCATATTAATGGCTATGGGGGGAGCCAACTCCATATTAATGGCCACGGTTTTGGTATGGGATGTCCAGAAAGCTGATATAGGTGTGATGGTTAGGGGTCCACAAACTGTTGGACGTATAGTGCACATCTCTCTCTCGCTCCCGATCTCTCTCTATATCATGAGATCGGAAATTACATTTAAAAAGCCACGTTAGAACAATTCCGTACTTGTAAAAATTGTCAAAGCAAGCATTCTAAAAAAATCACTTACGACAGAAGTCTTGCCTCCTCCATGGTTGTACCTTTACCCCTGCAGCCTGACATGCCATTGTGTATGATGTTAAGACGGAGCAGTATATACTTTGACGCTTCTCCATAATGCAGGAGTCATAGACGCAGCTTTTGAAGTACGGTTCTGGGTCTACAAGAGCATGACAAACACGGAACGGACCACGTTGGTTAACCAAGACCCCACACTCGATGGCTCCTTCTCTTTGCCTTTTCTCTTCAGATTGGAGATTATTACAGACAGGGTTTCCATCATCTCTACACTTCAACACCTCTGCTACCTTCCAGCTCTTTCCAAACGTTGTTGGGTCCGCAACACTCTTTCCTCCTTTAGGAATCAAGTCATCTTTAGGGTTCTTGTTAAAGTTCCCGCACAGTCCAGAGACGGCGTTGGCGTAAGTGCCTGGAAGTTGAACTCTGACAATGCTGTTATAGTCATACGTGACCTGCAGACCAAAGGAGAATTGAAAAACAACCGCAGAGGGACTGCGATAAAAGCTGTAGAGGCCATCCGGGGATTTATATGGAAGATTTTGCAGTGTGTTGTTCACCTATTAGAACAGAAAAAAGAAATGATTATTTAATTGTCTCATCATGAAAAGTTCAGCCATGCAAAAAGCAACTACGTGGCAGTTTTGGAGATGTTGAAATCATAAGTAATCTTACTTTTGTCTTCAGATGAGACAGATTTAAATGTATCTTCAGCCAAAACCTTTTTTTAGTTTAGATGTCTTTATTTAATTTAGGATAAAGTAGGGAAGGGTTAGACCCCTCTAACAGACTTGTCTGGGTCTCCTTTGGTGACCCCTCTATTTGTACTGGTCACCAAGAAACACAGTGGAGAAGAATCCAAAATTTTGGAGTTGTCCCCAAAACAATTGGTGAGGTGAGATCCCCTGTAGTATTAAATGTAAGATCCTCATTGGAACCCACCATGTGATTAGAAGAGACCCAAGGCATGGGGAGGCCTGCCCACAACTCTGAATATACATGGACACATTTCAAAATGACATATTGAATACATGTATTGAAGGTACTAGGCAATTGTGCAGCCATGGTCCACAGTAATGGTCCTGTCTGGCAGGAAAGGAAACCTGATTATGTTATCTGCTGCAATCTATTTACACCTACAGGTCTTGTCCCTCCCCTTGCCTGTGATTGGATAGTGATAAGAGAAGCAGCAGACTGGTGAACCCATCTCTCTGCTCTTCTCCTATTAACATGGCCTTTGTTAGCACATGCAGGGACGGCCTTGGGGCAGCAGGGAGTAGAGGGGCAGCAGAGGTGTGGAATTCCTATCTCCCGATGCCCAAGACATGCAGTTCGTGGCACCGGGTGGGTGGTTGTTTTCTGCATTTAGCCCTGCTTTGGGAAAACAAGGCTGAATGTACAGCGGGGAAGCCGCCGCTTGTTTTGTCGCAGAAATCACTTTTATGCAGCCTGCATACATGGGGCGCATTGAGAAACCTGGCATTGGGGCAGCAGAAAGAGTAAATCCGGCCCTAAGCACACGGGCACTGTAACAAAACTGATTGGTTCATTCTGCTCCTTCTCCCTTCTGAGATCTGCTGTGCAGGGACGGCAATAGACTGAAACCAAGTCTCGTGCTTATGCTTATGCTGCTTGCACATAAAATGATACACTAAATACATCATATTAATGCATTAATAAATACAGAACAGTATTGAATGTTACGTTTTATGTCTGCTAGGAGTTCAGCTTTAAAGTTTCAAAGTCAATATCATGTTACAATACTTACAATGACTTTATTGGGGTGCTGTCTGTGCGCTTCAAAGTCTATGCCATGGGCGCTGATGTAAACTGCACTTGTGTATGAGACTCTGACATTGCCTCGGTTTTGGTTCCAAACACGGACTTGGAAATCGGTGAGCCCTCGACTTTGATCAGTGAGGCCTGCCAACAGGTATACACAGGTCCCCTGGAAGTCTATTATTACCCCATCAAACGTTATGTAGTGAGGATCAGTGAAGCCTACGCACACCCCGTAGGACATTGGGTAACAGTCAAGGATGCCGTTCCTCACAGCGCACTCTTCTCCTGCTCGACAAGGGCTAGTCTTACATTCCACCTTCTGAGTCTGAGGGTTGCACACGCACCTCTGCCGACACACGGTGTCGTTCCAGAACTCTTCGTTGGGGGAATAGGTGAATCCATTGTACCTGCAGCCACAGCTTGTTCTCGGAACACACTTGCCCTGGCTTAAAACAAACCCCTCATTGCACTCGCAGGTCTCCACGCATGGGTCAGTACAAACGGACGCATTTTTGGGATCATCGCAGGTTGTTGGGCAAGCACTACCGCAGAATTTGTAGGTGCTGTCTGCCAGACATGGTAAGGCTGAAAATGGAAAGGAAGACTTTAGGTGAGTTCCAGAATGGTAGTTAGCAGTGATGTGCGGGGGCTTGGAGCGAACCCAGTACACTTGAGTTCACCCAAGTCCATGCAAGACTGGCACATGACCCTTCCAGCCCAATCAGTTACATTCCTCATCCCCATGTGCCTTCAATAGCAGCCCATTTTATACCACCATATACTACTTACGGCATCCTGCTGCACTTCTCCACTGCCCAATCTTAACTCCAGCCCTTTGGCAGGCGTCAGCGTATGCGCTGACTGCTTGACATGATATCTGCTTGTATCCACTGTTGATACACACATCGAACACACAGTTTTCCATGTACATCTTGGGGTCTAGAACTGAATGGCAAGCGCCAAATGGACCATTGGTTTTGCTGATGAGCCCACAGAAGCCATCAGTTTTGTACTGTTGGGCAGTGGTGGGTGGGCAGCTGAGACAAGGGCCATGGCAGCACGATGTTCCATCTTCTACCTGCCAATAGAAAAAAAGAAAATAATCAATCCTATGACTGAGATATGAGAAAACATGACACAGGTCCATAGCAAAAGGAAGCCAAAAAGCGTAGAGATTGGCAGAGTGACATTTGTTACTTTATCTTATCATTTTTATTTACTCATAAAACAATTAGACAATAAAACAGTGATAACCTACTGTTTAGTCTCTTCACAACTCCATAATGCAAGAGATACAAGATACAGGAGGCCAATCGATAGACAACTCCCTGTGTCTTATCACCAGTTTATTGGAGTCACTCTATGATTGAGCTCATGGTGCAAACCTTTGTTTTCAGGTTTTTTTTTTTAGAAAGGTTTTCTATATGTACAATTTGTGATATAAAAGGTGCACATAGATATAGAAATAGAGAGAAATTATGGTGAAATGGTCAATATTATGGATAAGCTTCAGGTTCTGGTTGACCATGAGTTCGACCAGGACTCCAGCTGTCTGAAGCCTGCCAAATGGGCCAATGATATGGCCAGTTCGCATGCTTGCCGAACCTCCATCTGGGTACTATCAACCAATGTAGATTGTACAGCCTCAATGGTTGACTGGTGGCTGAACAGCACAGCGTCGTTAGTTGCTAAGACACAGACGGTCAACCCATAATAACCTATGACACTGTGGGCCGCTAACATAGCTAGCAACCAATGATGATATGTATGCTGCACAGCATCATTGGTTGCTAGGACACAGGTGGCCCTGGGTTTGGTTTGCTTGGATGTTCACTAAATCCAGATTTCTGGGTGGGTTCAGCAAACATTTAAGCAAAAGAAACCCAGGCTAGTTTGCTTATCACTAGTCCTGATATAAGGTAGAAAAAAGGCCAAGTATACCATTAATCATGGAAATGTCCCATAGAGTCATTGATAGTATTATAGACTCTTCCCATGAGCATTCGCCAGTTCATTCTAGTTAAAACCTGAGCAATAGGGATTGACTGAGCGTACCAGTTTTGAGCTATAACCCATCACACTGAACTAAATTGGGTGTTTAGGAATTTTTCTCACGTTTTAATGATCATCTGGTAAGATTTGCCCTCACTTACCAGATGGTAAGTGAGGGAAAATTTCCACTAGCAGCACAGACAGTAAAAAAAATGAGTTTTTTAATAAAATAGGAAAAAGACAATGGTCAACACGTATCACTGTCTGTGTCCCTCACTTCCTCTTTGGTAAAACTTTTGTCACAGTGATTGTGATAGGAAATCTTTCAAACGGAACCTTAGATAGCAGTAAAACCCAACATGGGTTCTAACCTTACATCCTTCGACCCAAAATTTTAAAAAAAGCTCAACTGCCATTTATTTTGAAGAAACAATGTTGGCAACTTTACTTCCCATTAAATGTACAAGGTCTCCAGCTTCTGGAGGTGTTGTGTGCACCATTTTGACTACAGCAGCAAGCATTCACTACAGGTCCCTGTACGTCATGGCTATTACCTTTAACAGAGGTGCAAGAAGACAATAATGGCTTGATCTTCCTGTTTTACACCAATAATTGCTCTGATACTACGGCTAGGCCCATTGTAGATTTGGGAAGGTACCCCCTCCATTAGACACACGTGCTCATTTAAACAAGCCACAGAGGTGTCTATGACTGTCTAGACCAGTGGTGGCGAACCTTGGCACTCCAGCTGTTTTGGAACTACAAGTCCCATGAGGCATTGCTGTCCCTCTGACAGCCACAGACATAACTCCTAGAGGCAGATGCATGTTGGGATTTGTAGTTTTGGCACAGCTGGAGTGCCAAGGTTCGCCACCACTGGTCTAGACCCAAACCATTAGTGGCTTATCCAAAAACTCCAGGATTGGTTGCAGAGGAGACCAAGGAGGAGGTCCTTAAATAAGGTGTTTGACTGATTCGCTATATCTTACCGCCCAGCTAGTTCCCAAGGCAATGGGGTTGGCAGCCTGGGTCCCAGAAGGAGTAAGAAAGTCATCAGACGAATTTTGGTTGTAATTTCCACACAACCCACACATCTTTCCAGCATAGCGCCGTGTCAGCTCCATCCACAAGTAATGGTTCCAGTCGTAAGACATCGTCATATCGTTTCCAAGCTGTATAATGGCTGCGTTCCCACTCTGGAACATTCTTAGAGTCCCGTTCAATAATAATATAGGAAGTTGTCTTAGGCAGTTGTCCACCTGGAAAAAAATGATCAGGAAAAGAAAAATATCTGGAGTTAAGCTTTAATCAGAATTATTTTTATTTTTTTCTTTGAAAAGAACTTCCTAACCCTAACCCTAACCCTAACCCTAAGGAAAGGATCATTAATTTTGTTTTTTAGCAGATGCCCTTAAAATTGAGATTTTTATTATCTGCAGGCACAAGCGGGGCCAGATTTCTCACTAGGATGCCATGACCACAAGCGGCTGTATATACAGTAGCTGCTCAGGCCATTTTAAGATGATTCTGGCCATTGCTACTTATAGGCTTAAAGAGCCTGCCAGGCAATACTCTAGCCTCTCCTTCCTTCTGCACACTCCTCAGGGCCGGTGCTGCCACTAGGCAAACTAGGCAGCCGCCTAGGGTGCACTGCTGCCTCAACCACTCCCCTCCCTCATGGTGCCCCCCGTCTATTTCAAATTGCAAAAGCTCATAGCAGGCTGGCTATTGCACCCTCCCACTAAGCAGAAGAACAGAACTTAGAGACAACTTTCTCTCTCAGGTCCCCCTCCTCTGCTCAGTGGGTGAGGTTTCAATAGCCAGTCTGCTATGAGCTATATCAAATTAAAATAGCCAATAGCAGTCTGGCTATTGCTCCCGGCTGCTTACATCCACCTGTCGCCTGCAGAAGCTAGCCGGCAGGAGAATGGGGCAGCGCCGGAGGGGATTGGGCTGCAAGTAGGCGGTCTTGCCTAGGGCGCAAAATAGTCTTGCACCGGCCCTAACACTCCTATGTTCATTTTCAGTTCCTATACCCGTAATTGACTCTACCAGAACCCTACCACATGTCCAGTAACTCCCACTCCCATGCCCCAGAATGCTGGAAAGAGCGGTATGACACATGTTCTGTGTGAACAATTGCATGCATATTGAGTGAAGTGCATACAATGACAGGTACAGCTGATTGTGCTTCTCTTTGACACATTGCTAGTTGTGTCACTGCGCTACTGGTTGTGTTTCTAAGGACATCTTTACATAATAATGACAATTTATTGAAAAGTTATTTGTTATATATTATTTGTCCTGTTATTTTGGCAATTCAATTTTTTAATATGATCAACAACATATTTTTATTCCAATGTGTCTTTTATTAT